TCACACCAGCCTTAATGGGTCCCTCGTCCTCTCCACACTCCCACCCTCACGTTTTGCCCCGATTGCCTCTTTCAGCTAGAATACTCTTCTCTTTCTTTTGCACCTGGGCAGCCCCTACTCATCCCTGAGATCTCAGCTTTAACATCTTTTCCTCAGAGCAGCCTTTCCTGAGTAGTTCCAATCTCTCTCTGTTGCATTAAGCACATGTCAAAGGGCGATTACATTGTTTGTGTGTTCTTTGGTCTTCCCTTTAAACTGTAAGCTTCCTGAGGGCAGGGACTGGATTCTGCTCATGATCTTATGCTGAGCATATAGTAGACTATTAGGTACTCAATAAATACTAAGTAAGTGAATCCATACTTTGAAACCAGCGATGTTCTAGATGTTTGCTTTTGATTCTTTAAGAGTGCAGTAAGATCAATATTATCATTGCTGTTTCACTGATGTGATTATTTTTTCTGATGTGATCATCTTAAACCATGAATCCTTAGACATTCCTCCCTTCACAAGGTGGACTAATCCTCCTCCCACCGAATGTAAGCTGACTTGGCGACTCACTTCTAATAAACAGAATACAGCAGAAGCCACAGTATCATATAAGGCATAGCACTTTCTCCTTGCTTCCTCAGAGGACACTCAGCTTGGGGTAAGCTGGCTGCCATGTCATGCAGACAATTCGGCAGCCTCATGAAGAAGCCCACACAGTGAGTGACTGAGGCCGTCTGCCAACAGCCATGTCAGTGAGGGAACTGGATCCTTTGGGCCTTGTCAAGCCTTCAGACGGCAGCCCTGGCTGGTGACGTGACGACGTCCTCACTGTAACCTCCTGAAAGACCCTGAGCCAAAACAATCCAGTAAGGCCCCTCCCAGATTCCTAACCCAGGGAAACTGTGTGAGAGGATTAATGTTTGTGTTTCACGCTACTAAGTTTGAGGATAATTTGTTACACAATAGATGCTGAAAGAATTGATGAGGGAAGTAAAGAACAGCAAGCAAAAGTAACTTGTTTTAAGGTCACACAACCAACCAGTAAAAGGCAGGTGCAAGATCCAAACACAGGTCGCATGGCTCCAAAGCGGTTCTCTGAGCCACCCCGTGCTGCCTCCTACAGGTGCTTAGTACGGACAAATGCAGAATCATTTGGCTGCTTTCTAAAATCTTTGCAGATTTGTTCATGTTACACTTTTAGGAAGTTGCTTTCTGGATTTCCAAAGAAACTGCTGACTGAAAGAGTTTCTCAGAGAATAGTAAGTCAAAAGGCAATTCTAAGGAGAAGCTTAAGTGTGCTTAACTATTTAAAGAATTTCTGTGAAGACGTTTTGTTGGATGAGTATATTGAAGCAAATTTGTTATAAATTTAAAAAGAGATAACCAGAGGGGCACCTGGGTGGCTCAGTCAGTTAAGTGTCCAATGTCAGCTCAGGTCATGATTTCACAGTTTGTGAGTTCGAGCCCCGCATTGGGCTCTGTGCTGACAGCTCAGAGCCTGGAGCCGGTTTTGAATACTGTGTCTTCTTCTCTCTTTGCCCTTCTCCCACTTGTAATCTCTCTTTCTGTGTCTCTCAAAAATAAATAAATGTAAAAAAAAATTTTTTTTTAAAAAGAGATAACCTGAAAGTAACTTTTTTTTCTTTAGTTCACTAACATGGTACAGTAAAATAGTTTTCACACTGTGAATGCATTACACTAGACTGCTCAATTTTTTATATATTCTCTGTATTTTTGTGCTTAATATTTTATATATTATACATATTTAATAGTGTAAATATTTAAATTTGGTATATATGAGGGAATTACTGAAATTCAGTATTTCACTCAGATTTCCTAGTTACCATTTCAAAGGTCCATATCTTGCAGCAGGCAAAGATTTCTTCAACAGGACATGAAAGCACAGATCTCAACATACAACCTAAAGTAGCCATTGCAAGCTATTTTGCAGTCTATGCTGATTAGACCTAATATCTTCATTCCATCTCCCTGGAACAACTCATTTCCCTTTTTCCTTCTATTCCTTCCTCTTCCCAAATTAATAAAGCATTCCCTTTATCTAACCACTCCACTCATCTTTACTGTCTTTCTTTATTCAAGCATTGTCACTAGTTCCCTCCTCACGAGCATTGGACTCTTTAAGCTAATTTATGTCGAGGTCCCCTGGCACCTGGAAGTAAGAGTGTTGCTGCGCCATGGAAAGTTCCGCAACTGTGAACTGGAGAGAGGTCTCTCCGTCCTTTGACTGTGATACCATCTTCATGTCTGTGGAGCAGATTTAATTTAAGAATTCCTACTCGGTGGCAAAGAACACGGAACACTTTGCTTCTCCCAATAACTTTGTTTTTTAAGAATCTCAAATCACCCTGGAGCTGGAAAAAATTGAATAATGCCAAGTAACAGCACCTGAGTCTGCTTAGCTAACTTCAGCCCATTCCAATGGTTGCTTTTAGAGCCGATAACTGAAATCTCAGCGTCCTGTCCACTTCACAGCCCATCCCCCAATGGGGGCTCAGCTGTCTGTTAGTGGAGCTCGGCCTCTCTTCTCCTGTCCTGGGGCCTGCTTCCCAGTTGGTGGGATGAGTGGAGGCTGGGGAGACAGTTCAGGTATGTGTGTCAGTGAGTGCTGGCACACTGGAGGTGACGGTGGGGACGTGAGTAGTTCCAATTGGTCCTTGCTGCTACTTTACCGACCACTGGCAATAAAGAGCAGGTGGTGTCTGTGGCAGGATGGGACTTCTGGGGACTCCATAAATAACTAGGCTCTCACTGGGAGGCAGGCTGAGGGAGATAGGAACACCACAGTAATGCCTGAAATGCTTATGCTGGCCTGCAGGGCTTAAGGAGGTAAATGGAGCAGGCAGGTCAATGCTCCATCTCTGCCTCAGACACGTGGACCCGGTCATGGCTCCCAGCCTCGCTGACTCCTGCTACGGGCCGGCAGGGGGTGAGGCTGACCATGTTTCCTTTCTCATAAGCAAGAGAAAGAAAGGGGGTTGTGAGCAAAACGCAGACAGTTCATCTGCCCACACTCACCAGTCGGGTAAGTCCCCCTGCCTCCTGGGATGGGCAATGAGTGAGACAAGAGCTGAAAGAAGTCTCAACCAAGCAGGTCAAAACCAATCTGAATGCACAAGTCTGAATATGTATGCACATTTTTATCTGATTTAGTAAGCAGCATAGTGAGAGATATGGAAGGATACCTGGGAGCTGTTCACAGGATTGCCCAGTTTGGGAGGTGGCGGCTGGGATACAATGTGAAAGGAGGAGGGGAACAGAGTTTAGAGAGATAAGCAAAACAGGGCAAAAATCACCAAAACCCAGTATTATGGTGTGATCACAGTATCTATAGTATAGTAGTAAGAAGTGGTATTCAGGGTGTCCGGCTGGCTCAGTCAGAAGAGCATGTGATTCTTTAAAACAAATTTTTTAAAAAAGTTTATTTATTTTTGAGACAGAGACAGAATATGAGTGGGGGAGGGGCAGGGAGAGAGGGAGACACAGAATCTGAAACAGGCTCTAGGCCCTGAGCTAGCTGTCAGCACAGAGCCCATCGCGGGGCTCAAACCCACAAACCACGAGATCATGACGTGAGCTGAAGTCGGACGCTTAACTGACTGGGCCACACAGGTTCCCCTTTTCTTTTAATTAAAAAAAAATTTTTTTATAGTTTATTTATTTTTGGGACAGAACATGAGTGGGGGATGGTCAGAGAGAGAGGGAGACACAGAATCTGAAACATAAGAGCATATGATTCTTAATCTCAAGGTCATGAGTTCAAGCCCCATGTTGGGTGTAGAGCTTAAATTAAAAAAAAAAAAAAACTTAAAAAAAGAAGTAATATTCACAACACTTCAACCTGTATGGCACGGTTAGTACTCGTCCAATTAAAGTAGATAGATACCAGGGGCACCTGGATGGCTCAGTCAGTTAAGCATCCAACTTTGGCTCAGTTCATGATCTCATGGTATGTGAGTTTGGGCCCCCACCTTGGGCTCTCTGCTGTCAGCACAGAGCCCACTTTGGATCCTCTGTCTCCCTCTCTCTCTGCCCCTCCCTCACTCATGCACATGGTGCTTTCTCTCTCTCTTTTTCTCTCTCAAAAAATAAGTAAACATTAAAAGAAATAAATAAAATGATGTTAAAAAAATAAAGTAGATACCAAAAAACTAGGGCAGGATTCCTGAAAATTCCCTCACTGGACCAGGCATTAATCTGAATTGCAGGGTGGTCCAAGGGGTCCTGGGAGAAGACTGGGAGAGCAGGGTAGTAGGATGTGATTTTGGGGATGGGGGAGAGTGGCAGTACTTGAGAGGCTCAAGACAGTAGCTATTTACTAAACCAATTCAGAAGCACGTCAGTGTTTTAACAGCATGTTAAAATCAGGGCATTCCATTTGAATAACATACTTGTTGACTTACTCATAAATTAACAGCAAATCCTTAAAATATAACAGGATAGCTTTCTTCCTACTCTATGTTATCTGATTTAACTGGGAATGGGCACAGTTCATCTGAAGAAAACCTGTGAATTCTGGGTCCTGGAGGATCCACTTCAAAGCCTCACTCAGATGATTGAAAAGTTGATGGTTGGCTATTGGCTGGAAACTTCATTAGGACTATAGATTAGGATCTTGGTTCGTTTCCCTCTGGGCCTCTCCTCAAGCTGCTTGAGCTTCCTTACAGCATAGTGGTTGGGTTCCATGAGAACCAGGAGGTGGCGTTTTACAATATAAGAAGTCACACAGTGTCACTTCATTATAGTCTCTTGGGCAGGGCAGTCACAAGGGCTCACCAAATTTTTAGGGGAGGGGACTTCCATTCCACAGCTCCATGGGAAGAGTGTCAAGATCTTACCATAAGAAGAGCATATGGCTTCAGATTCTGTGTCTCCCTCTCTCTCCACTCCCTGCCCCCCACCCCGCCATCATGCTCTATCTCTCAAAAATAAATAAATATTTTTTAAAAAGAAGGGCATATGGCAAGGAAAATATGGGAGGAAATACGACTCACCACAACAAATTTCTGCTATGTCTGTGATATCCATAGTCCATGCTGGCATGGATCCCAAAAGTCTCTGCTTTTTTCCAGGCTGCCACACTCAGGGCACAGATTAGCTAGTATAATTGAAAGTCTGGAGGAAGAAGGGAAAAGTTAAAAAAATTATAGTCAACCAAAGAAAGAAATAAAGCGAACATTTTTAAGTTCCTACTTAACAGCGTGGCAGGCTTTGTGCTGGGCACTTCTCATGGATCTTTATTAATTTCAAGATTTCAAGATCCTTATTAATCTTCACCACAGCTGTGTGAGGTATGTACTATTATTAACACTTCAAAGATGAGGAAATTAAGACAGAAGAGGTATTTAGCAACTTGTCCAGCTATCCACCCAGTAACTGAGATAGAGCCAGCATGGCGATACTGGTCTGCTTGACTTCAAAGACTATGTTCTTTCCGCTGTAATGTGCCTCAGAGTGTAGAATATAAACACAATCTATAAAATGTCCCTATTTTGTTTTCGCTATGTAGCTAATTTTGGTTTCTTCTTATACATACATAAAAAAGATCTCCTTTTCTTACTTCTCAAAAGGGTTAGAGTAAAATATGGCAAATAGTAGCAATGTATAAATGGACTTCTTTTTTCTAAAGAACCAACAAAGCCTTCTCAAAGAGCATATTATATAACTCCCTTCTCAATTAATGCCCAAGTTATCATTTGTCCATGTAGGAATGTAGAAATTACTATGTGGGGCATCTGTAAGAAACTCACACTGGGGCGCCTGGGTGGCTCAGTTGGTTAAGTGTCCAACTTGGCTCAGATCATGATCTCACAGTCAGTGTGTTGGAGCCTTGTGTCAGGCTCTGAGCTGTCAGCACAGAGTCTGCCTCAGATTCTATGTCTCCCTCGCTCTCTGCCTCTCCTCCACTCTCACTCAGTGTCTCTCTCTCAAAAATAAATAAACATTAAAAACATTAAAAAACAGATACCCATACTAGTTATTAAGCTAATTATATTCTAAGGTAATGTAAATTTTAAGACATATAGAGGAATTCAGTACGGGAATTAGTTAATTAAGTACAAAAGGATGAGTAAATTATGAAACAAGTGAAGTCCCAAGTTTTGTATATTTGTACTTTAGGAATACATATTAATATTAAATAGACCATGGGACTTCCTGTGTAGAGAAAATGGACGTTTCTGTTGTTGCAGCAGGGATTTCCCTATAGTGGGGCACAGATAATGGAGTTAATCACAATTAGAACTCCTTAATCATTAATTAGGTGTGTTTAATCTGGGTGGAAGGACCTCTGTTCCAATGATCAGGGAGATTTTCACTCAGATATTGATTAATTATAAGATCTGGCACTGTGATGGAGAGGATGAGAATGCCTGTCTCTTACCTGGTGCTAAATACAAACATCCAAAGGAGTAGTGAATGACAGAGACTGAAAGAATTACACATATTTTACCATACTGTTAACCCAAGCATGAATGCAATTCAACGATAACACAGTATGTCATCAATACATGTGGCTACCAAGAGGCTTTTGACTCTGACTTGCAAACAAAATTTCCTACTGAAACCTACTCTTTCTTTTACTTATTTATTTATTTTTTATGTTTATGTATTTTGAGACAGAGAAAGAGAGCAGGGGAGGGGTGGAAATACAGGGAGACAGAGAATCCAAAGCAGGCTCTGTGCTATCAGCACACAGTAGGGCTCAGTCTCACAAACAGTGAGATCATGACTTGAGCCAAACTCAAACGGCTTAACTGACTGAACCACGAGGCACCCCGAAGCCTACTCTTTTTTTTTTTCTTAGTTTATTGTCAAATTGGTTTCCATAGAACACCCAGTGCTCATCCCCACAAGTGCCCTCCCCCATGCCCATCACCCCCCTTCCCCTCCCCCCACCTCCATCAGCCCTCAGTTTGTTCTCAGCATTTAAGAGTCTCCCATGGTTTGCCTCTCCCCAACTATTTTTCCCCTTCTTCTGCCCCACGGTCCTCCATTAAGTTCCTCTTAATCCTCCTATACGTGCAAACATATGGTATCTGTCTTCTCTGCTTGACTTATTTCGCTCAGCATAACACCCTCAAGGTCCATCCATGTTGCTACACATGGCCAGATTTCATTGTTTCTCATTGCCATGTAGTATTCCATGGTATAGATAAACCACATCTTCTTGTTCCATTCTTCTGTTGATGGACACTTAGGCTCTTTCCATGTTTTAGCTATTGTGGAGAGTGCTGCTGTGAACGTTGGGGTACATGTGCTCCTATGCATCAGCATTTCTGTATCCCTTGGGTAAATTCCTAGCAGTGCTATTGCTGGATCATAGGGGAGTTCTATTGTTAGTTTCCTGAGGAACCTCCACACTGTTTTCCAGAGGGGCTGCACCAGTTTACATTCCCACCAACAGTGTAGGAGGGTACCCGTTTCTCCAGATCCTTGCCAGCATCTAGAGTTCCCTGATTTGCTCATTTTAGCCACTCTGACTGGCGTGAGGTGGTATCTCAGTGCGGTTTTGATTTGTATTTCCCTGATGAGGAGGGATGCTGAGCATCATTTCATGTGTCTGTTGGCCATCTGGATGTCCTCTTTAGAGAAGTGTCTGTTCATGTCTTCTGCCCATTTCTTCACTGGATTATTTGTTTTTTCGGGTGTGGAGTTTGGTGAGTTTCTTATAGATTCTGGATACTAGCCTGTTATCTGATATGTCATTTGCAACTATCTTTTCCCATTCCGTTGGCTGCCTCTTAGTTTTATGGATTGTTTCCTTTGCTGTGCAGAAGCTTTTAATCTTGATGAGTTTCCAATAGTTCATTTTTGCTCTTGATTCTCTTGTCTTTGGGGATGTGTCAAGTAAGAAATTGCTGCGGTTGAGGTCAAAGAGGTTGTTTCCTGCTTTCTTCTCTAGGGTTTTGATAGTTTCCGGTCTCACATTCAGGTCCTTTATCCATTTTGAGTTTATTTTTGTGTGTGGTGTGAGAAAATGATCTAGTTTTATTCTGCATGTTGCTGTCCAGTTTTCCCAACACCATCTGTTAAAGAGGCTGTCTTTTTCCTTTGGATATTCTTTCCCTCTTTGTCAAAGATTAGATAGCCATACATTTGTGGGTCCAATTCTGAGTTCTCTATTCTATTCCATTGGTCAATGTGTCTGTTTTTGTGCCAATACCATACTATCTTGATGATTACAGCTTTGTAGTAGAGGCTAATGTCTGGGATGGTGATGTCTCCCATTTTGGTTTTCTTCAATATTACTTTGGCTAGTTTGTTCTAGTTTTGAGGAGAATGCTGGTGCAATTTTGATTGGGATTGCATTGAATGTGTATATTGCTTTGGGTAGTAGTGACATTTTAACTATATTTATTCTTCCAATCCATGAGCATGGAATGTTTTTTCCATTTCTTTGTGTCTTCTTCAATTTCCTTCATAAGTTTTCTATAGTTTTCATCATACAGATCTCCTATATCTTTGGTTAGGTTTATTCCTAGGTATTTTATGGTTTTTTTGTGCAATTGTGAATGGGATCAGTTTCTTGATTTCTCTTTCTGTTGCTTCATTGTTGCTGTATAAAAATGCAACCAATTTCTGTACATTGATTTCGTACCCTGCAACTTTGCTGAATTCATGGATCAGTTCTGATCAGGATTCTGGTGGAGTCTGTCGGGTTTTCTATGTAGAGTATCATGCCATCTGCGAAAAGTGAGTTTGACTCCTTCTTTGCTAATTCTGATGCCTTTGATTTCCTTTTGTTGTCTGTCTGATTGCTGATGCTAGGACTTCCAGCACTATGTTAAACAACATTTGTGAGAGTGGACATCCCCGTCCTTTTCTTGATTTCAAGGGGAAAGCTCTCAGTCTTTTCCCATTGAGGATGATGTTAGCTGAGAGCTTCTCATAGATGGCTTTTATGATGTTTAAGTAGGTTCCTTCTATTCCGACTTTCTCGAGGGTCTTTATTAAGAAGCGATGCTGTATTTTGTCAAATGCTTTTTCTGCATCTATCGACAGGATCATATGGTTTGTATCTTTTTTTTTTTTTTTGCTACTGTGATGTATCACATTGATAGATTTGCAAATATTGAACCAGCCCTGTAACCCAGGAATGAATCCCACTCGATCATGGTGGATAATGCTATTTATGTGCTGTTGGATTCGCTTTGCAAGTATCTTGTTGAGGATTTTTGCATCCGTATTCATCAAGGATATTGGCCTGTAGTTCTCTTTTTTTGCTGGGTCTCTGTCTGGCTTGGGAATCAAAGTGATGCTGGCTTTGTAAAATGAGTCTGGAAGTTTTCCTTCGAATTCTATTTTTTGGAACAGCTTGAGAAGAATGGGTCTTAACTCTGTTTTAAATGTCTGGTAGAATTCCCCAGAGAAGCCATCTGGCCCAAGGCTCTTATTTGTTGGGAGATTTTTGATGACTGATTCCATTTCTTCATTAGTTATGGGTCTGTTCAGGTTTTCTATCTCTTCCCATGCGAATTTTGGTAGTGTGTGTGTGTATTTAGGAATTTGTCCATTTCTTCTAAGCTGTCTAGTTTGTATATAATTTTTCATAGTATTCCCTGATAATTGCTTGTATTTCTGAGGGGTTGGTTGTAATAAGTCCATTTTCATTCATGGTTTTGTCTATTTGAATGCTCTCTCTTTTCTTTTTGAGAAGCCTGGATAGAGGTTTGCCAGTTTTGTTTATTTTTTCAAAAAACCAACTCTTGGTTTCATTGATCTGTTCAACTGTTTCTTCGGTTTCTATACTGTTTATTTGTGCTCTTATTTTTATTTCTCTTCTCCTACTGGGTTTTGGGTGCTCTTGTTGCTTTCCTTCCATTTCCTTTAGGTGTGCTGTTAGATTTTTTGCTTGTGCTTTTTCTAATTTCTTGAAATAGCCCTGGAGTGCAATGTATTTTCCTCTTAGGGCTGCCTTTGATGCATCCCATAGAGTTTGAATTGTTGTATTTTCATTTTCATTTGTTTCCATATATTTTTAAATTTCTTCTCTAATTGCCCCATTTGCCCATTCGTTCTTTAGTAGGGTGTTCTTTTTAAAAATATTTTTATTTATTTTTGAGAGAGATATAGAGACAGCGTGAACAGGGGAGGGTCAGAGTGAGAG